AGTTATCAGAACTAGTTCTCCTCCAAAAATTTTAAAGAAAAGTAAAAAAGTTACAGAGAATCACAGTGCACGGTTGTGTCTACTTGTATATGCAGGGAAAGGGAGAGAGATAAAGAAAAATACAGAGATAAGAGAAAGAGAGAAAGTTTATTAAGTCATATAGCAACAGGCAAATTTGAAAGAAAAAGTTTATTACAGTCGTATAGAACAGGCAAATTTCTCACAGTGGTAGCCATTATCATTGTCAAGTCAGTTCGTAAATAAATATTTGTATCATATTAAGTCATTGAGAGGCACTATGAGTAAAACTATACAGCCAAAAGAAGCACATTGCAAAAATGAAAGGGAAGAGTAACCTACGAGTAAACGACAGTCCCAGTCACAAACCTCTGCAATAGAAACAGATCTGCGAGCTGCAGAGACAAACACATTTTCAGGTGACAAAGATAAAATAATCTTTGGGCTACACTGCCGGAAGCAGACACAGCATCTTTTTCTTCATTTTGGCGCCAAAATCAGTTACCCTACTTGTGTGAAAAAATCAAAGTGAGACTGAGACTAGTTTTTTAAATAAATTTGAATTCAAATTTCAGAAGAACTCTAATTTTCAATGGTTATGCTGGCAAAAACACTCATTTTCTCCAAACTGCAGTGAATTTTTAAAAAAAGTGTTTTGACAGCTTTCTGCAGGCTATGGAATTAAAACATTTATAACACCTTTGCTCCTGTGGACCGTCGGTGTCGGAGGCGGGAAGCCATCTTCTGTCTTCTTGCAGCGGTGATGTTGAGCGTCAATGGTGTTGATGACCAGCTGGACCAGGCTCTGGATGATGGCTGAGCGGGGTGAGGTGCTGATTTGGTACTGGGGAACAAGAAACAATTTGTTCTTAGAGTCTTTCAAATTGTTCTGGTTGATCAGGGTGAAATGTAGTAGTAAAATTATGCTCACATTTTTATAAACCTGCCCAGCCTGACAATTGGGTCTCTTGTTTTTGTTTTATTTTGTGTTTTACGGCGCTCGCAACAACATAAGGTCACGAGCGTGGCCCCTTGTTTGGTTTTGACTCTGATGGAGCTCTGCTGCCCTAAGGCACAGCAATGTTTCAAACAAAATTGGGGGTTTTTGTTTCTACTTGTTTATTACACTTGTCTTGCCCATATCCTTGTTGTGTGAGAGGCAGCCTGAAGTATTTGCAGCCCCTACAGTTGTTTTCAAAGTGATGTGACGCACCTACATTTGCTCACAACCTTGTTTAGAAGCATTCATAATTTTAGACAGGCTAAGCGTAAAAAATGTTTTATATTTTTTTCTCAAAATCAGGAAACATGCAGATACATTGTTCCACCTTTGGATGGCAGAGCTGTGCATAGTATAAAATGTCCAAACTAAACATGCATTTAGCTCAGCTGATTTAATACTGGACTGTTGTGTGGGTGGCTCTGGTTCAAATCCCTATTGGGGTGATCTTAAGCTTGGATTGTTTGCAGGCGTTTTCAAAGTTTTCTAGACTCTATCCACTTGGTTATATCAGAGATGCATGTTTAACTCAGAGATCCGGCCTCTTGAATAACCTAACAACATTGAAAGGGGCGTGGAACCTACACAACAACTACTACCACTGCTAAATGTAAGGTGTGCTAACAAAATGAGTTAATTCTCACAATCCCCGAAAGGAGATATCAATATTTGTACATTTTCAAATTATATCGTTTCATTTTCTTCAGGTTTAACATGCCTTTTATCATTTCATACTAGTAAATTATACCAATTTGACATATAAATTTGACATACCCATGTCTGTGCTGCTAAAAAAATTAAGAAGTAACCCATTATGTCAGCACGGCACGTCTCAGCAATGTTCTAGGTGTACCTTATACAGAATAACCAGCAGGGACTTGAGCCAGGAGACGCGGGTGTGGGGCTCGAGGTACCACAGCGTGTAGGTGGCCGGCTGGTTGTCAGAGGCGTAACGCTGCGGGGAGGGGCAGTACTGCAGCACCAACAGCGTGATGGACAGGATCACATAGCCCAGCTTGAAGTTTCGATCCAGAACCTTCCACGTGGGGAATAACAGAGAGGGTCATGGGTGGTTTGTAGTGAAATGTTGGTG